TGAACAGTTTTGTCGTTTGTTACTAATGTGTGACTTTTCCAAAGATTAACAGTTTTTTATGTTTGTTACATAATGTGTGACTTTTCCAAAGATTAACAGTTTTGTTGTTTGTTTCATAATGTGTGACTTTTCCAAAGATTAACAGTTTTGTCATTTGTTTCATAATGTGTGACTTTTCCAAAGATTAACTGTTTTGTCGTTTGTTACATAATGTGTGACTTTTCCAAAGATTAACAGTTTTGTCATTTGTTACATAATGTGTGACTTTTCCAAAGATTAACAGTTTATGTTGTTTGTTTTTTTGGTATCCTTAATTCTCAGTATTTTTTAATCAAACGTAAACTTATTTTTATACTTTTTTTTATGCGTGTATGAGGGAGTGGAGGTTTTGAGAAGAGATTTCTTGGCTAAGACTGACAGGTCATATGGTGACTGTCTTTTAATTCCTGACCAAATGTTTATCAAGTTAACGTACTAAGAGTATTGAACATTATACAAAAACTTATATAAACATTAGAATACACTGACTTATAGTTGGGTACCCTATCGTTAAGATTGTCGGCCATGGGATTGAAATTGCTCCTGTTGGTATCTTTCTACTGACAAAAACAAGTTAATGAATTTTTCAAAATGTTTGTTTAGTGAAACCTCCATTGTTGCAATATCAGTATATGTTTACAGCTGAAAGTATTGTTAACAGGGTCCCCAACTGATGAAACAATGCTTTCTAGCTTTTATAAGTAACAATGTAAAAAAAAAGTACAATCAATTAACTACACTCATTACCAGGTTCATTTTTAGTTTACCTTAAAGAAGGTGGCTTGTTCTGATCAGTTAATATGATTAAACAAAAAAAAATCACCTGACTTTCTCATGTAACATTCAGTTTTATTAAATATTGAACTGATAGGTGGGGATCCTAGTAATAAAAGTTTACTTAGTTGAGTTCATCAAGACCCGAACTTGCCTCTCAATGTACAAATGAGAAATAGCCCAAATTCTCTCCCATATTGCTATCACAGTGTCATGATGATGTTGAAGTACAGAAGACTTCTTGGTCATTGACGTAAACTGGAGTTTCATCTTCTCCACTTCAGGTTCAAGAATCCTGAGATTCGTTTCAAATTCCTGTCAAAACATAACGATCAGACCACATTACATTTCATAATAAATAAATCAAGTTGAATAACATAAAGATGATTCTTGTCAAATGATTGGTGGATAAAAACATCATCGACAGATGTCTTTGTTGCAAGTAAAGTAAGAACTAATACTAGTCAATTATTCAAGAGTTTAAATAAGAATCGGGAAGTTTAAATTTACATGTCTTAGAGCAAAGAAACAAAATTTAACTAACCAAGTCATACAAGTTACTCTCTGTATCTTAGGAAGTTAATAAACGAGAAAAAGCACAGAAATATATTTAACGAGGGAGATGGGGGGAGTTATAAAGTAGGTTGGAGTATAAAAGGATCTAAATAAGCAGGGATTAAACTGAAAATTCACAGAAAACAAAACAAACGTACGTAATCATATAATGACAACTGTTTTAAGAAGGTAAGGATAAACCTTATATTTTAGCTGTAATTACTTTGTGTTCCAGAACTCGTCCTTCCAGAGTGTCCTGGTCCCATGGAACCAACGCCTGGATGTTACCTTGAAGAATCTTCTCTCTGTTGTTCAGTGTATTTTGTAGCGAAGTTGCAAGATCAGAAAATTTGTTATGTGTAGATTTGTCAACTGAAATCAAAACTTTGGAATCAGATCGGTACAAAAGATTCAATTCACTTAAATCAGCATTTCAACCATCTTGAAAGTAATTATTAAAATTCATAACTGATTATCTATGACATTTTGCAAGCTTTAAGCTTATGTGCAAGATTTGGGATCCAAATCCATGTATGTGTTGGGTGGGTGGGGGTAGTCTGACTTAATTATTCTGAATGTCATGTGAATACCATGAGCAGGGGTAGACTAAGGGTCAGGTGAGCCTGGGGTTCGTTTTCTACCAGGCCTATTATGATCAGGACAAAAGACAAAGGTAATAAAACAACAACTAAATCTCACAATGGGCTTTTTTTAAAGACCAGACCCTGATGATAATGACCATATCCTATGGAAAAAAAAAGTGGTGGAGAACACCCCCCCCCCCCAATATGTTTAAACTACATATTTAGCACAAAGTGATTGGTTATTTATTTTTGAGAACTGTAGAGTGAGGAGATTAAAACAAAAATTACTAGCAAGAAATAAAGAAATAAATGAATTATTTTAATGTATTTGAAACTTCATTTAAATCATAACCCATTACAGTATATATAGAACATTGTTAGTCATTAAGTAAAGTCCTGTCACAGTATATATATAGAACATTGTTAGTCATTAAGTAAAATCCTGTCACAGTATATATAGAATATTTACTGTGACAGGACTTTACTTAATGACTAACAATGTTCTATAACTTAATGACTAACTCACAGTATATATATAGAACATTGTTAGTCATTAAGTAAAATCCTGTCACAGTATATATAGAATATTTAAGGTATTTTAACGAGTAGAGAGTAATCTTTGAATGTCATCTTTGAAAGATGGGAGATACCAATAGATAGTAAACTCATGAAATAGGTTTACACCACATTAAAACTGTCTTAAGAATGGATCAGAAATATAGTTTTTCCTCGGGTTAAGCCTGTCTCACTAGTATAAGAAGTATACTGTATTCTGAGGATATTAGCAATGTTGGTTGTTTTAAAGATATAATCTAGCATAAATATTCTATTATTGTTTAGGAAGAGGGATTTTTTTTTAACTTACAGAGTTGGAACACATTCACATGGTTTTGATATATTCTTATTATTAGCTTGAACAAGAAATATGACAATGTCTGGATTCTGTGGTCTAACAAATATCATAAGCTGAGACAAAACATGATTTTCTCCACTGTAAGGGTCATTAGATCATGGGATTTTTCCATGGTAAGTTATTTAAAATTTGCATTTTATTGTAGTTGCCATTTTTAACAAAGTATTTGATTAGATCATCAACGTTAAGTTTTGTCACTAAACATGTCCTTGTTTAACCTACTCACTAAAGCAACGTTGGTTCTACTTTAGCCACCCAAAAGATCTTAGATTTACTTTTGTTGCTAAAGAGATTCTACTTTTGAGTAGACAGATATATTTATATATGATAGATTTAACGATTGTGACATTTCCTTAAAATTGTTTTTTTTTAAGTTTTCTAACATGGAACCAGCCCAGAGAGATTCAATCCAAAAAGCACTGAACGAAGATGGACAAAAACTTGTTGACGAAGGAGATTCAAACGATCCAGACCTGAAGCAGTTACAGGAGGAGATTACCTACTGTAACAAACTGTTCCAAGACTTCTTGAAAAGGATGAAGAGTGATGAAGGTGAATTGTAACCATATGTAAAAAGAAAATATAGGCACTTAAAGACCTTGACGATATGATAGACCTATTGCAATAAATAAATTTTTAGGGTACAAAGTTATGAGCAAGATATTTGTAACTTTACACTATTTTTATTGTTTTAAATTGAACGTAATGAAAGAATGACTAACAATGTTCTATGTATACTGTGACAGGATTTTACTTAATGACTAACAATGTTCTATGTATACTCTGACAGGATTTTACTTAATGACTAACAATGTTCTATGTATACTGTGACAGGATTTTACTTAATGACTAACAATGTTCTATGTATACTGTGACAGGATTTTACTTAATGACTAACAATGTTCTATATATACTGTGACAGGATTTTACTTAATGACGAACAATGTTCTATATACACTGTGACAGGATTTTACTTAATGACTAACAATGTTCTATGTATACTGTGACAGGATTTTACTTAATGACTAACAATGTTCTATATATACTGTGACTTTATTGGATGTCAACATTGTCTTACTCTCTACTCGTTAAAATACCTAACAATGTTGACATCCAATGAAGTCACAGTATATATAGAACATTGTTAGTCATTAAGTAAAATCCCATCACAGTATATATATAGAACATTGTTAGTCATTAAGTAAAATCCCATCACAGTATATATAGAACATTGTAGTCATTAAGTAAAATCCTGTCACAGTATATATAGAACATTGTTAGTCATTAAGTAAAATCCTGTCACAGTATATATAGAACATTGTTAGTCATTAAGTAAAATCCTGTCACAGTATATATAGAACATT